ATATATTACAATTTATCGATAACTGAATATAGGAAAAGAACCTGTTTACTCTCCCAACAAACACGCATCATCCCATCTGAGCCCAACTCACTGTCTGCTGAACTCCACACAGACAGCACCGGTGATACAGAATTGAACCCAGGGCCTGAGTGCTGTGAGGCAGCAATGCTAACCACTGTGGCACCATATTGCCCATTAAAGCCATTTTTTGCTAGTAAAGAGCACCTGCAGCCCATTCCAGAAGCACAAGGCAGACCTGCAGGCCGGATGTGGCGCCAGTCCATCGCAGGACACGCGTCACTACCTGCCAGGTTTTCAGGAAGTTCCTGAACTGCACCTAAACTGAAGTGATCACGTGGCTGGACACCCCTGGAGTAGCACGGTTTGTAATTATTTCACACGTGTACATGACCTGGATGTGTGAGTGAGCATTGGAAAGTGTAAAGAAGCGCGCCTGAAGGCTGAGGAGGTCTTCCCAAGAGCAGATAGCACTGAGAGAAGCAGCAGCTCAAGGGCACTGCCAGCAGCCTCCCACGCTACAGTAATAATGTGGAGCACTTCCATCAAAACGCCAAGTACTGTGACCCCCATTGCACTCGAGCTGTTCGGTCACAGAGAAACAAGTCTTCTACCTTACTGGAGAAGGGGCCAATATGGCAGATGACTCGCAGGCTTTCAGGAAGTACCTGGAAGCCTGATACTCAACTTTCAGGACGTTTTGCTTGTTTATCTTATCTAAACATTACTCTTTCTTTATTGTCTACCAATAAGGTTGTGCTGTGATAAAAATGGAGGACACACAGTTAAACTTCTCCTACCATTGTCTCTAGTGGAGGAGCGCGCAGGGGACTCTCGATGACATGAATGATCCCATTGGACGCCCGGATGTTCCAATCCACAATGAACCGGCCATCAACATAGCGAGAAGCTGTCTGGAGAGGCAGGGAAAGAGACATGTTGTGCAGGAGTGACTGACCTTCTGTGTCCTCATACAGAACATGCCCTGGTATGGAACAGTATATACTGTAGTAGTGTGTAAAATCACAGGGCTTCAGTACAGTAATGCTGCTCACTGAATTAAAAAAATCGAATTCTGGACATTTTTGTGACTTTTGTTTTGTTTTTGTCTGCTTTGCCAAGTGACAAGGATCTGAACAGGCTAGACGGAACAGCAGAAAGAGACGCCACTACACTCCCCACGCTACTCTCAGCGCACAGATCCCATTTTTGAAAGGCAGAGATTTAACTGACACTCCACAAAAACATAATTTGTCTGTTGAACTGTTCCAAAAATGTCAAGGTAATTCAAGTGGAGAAGTTTAGAATTACTTTGCTTTATTTCCATTGTTTTGTTTGTATAAATTAAAATGAAAATCTCCCTGCTAGGCCCATCATCTTGTGACTCGTGAGTTTACAGAAGATAAATATATCAGGATACATCAAGCACCGCGCAGACCTGGCAGTGCTTCAGTGCCCAGAGAGGCTGGAGGCTCCTGGACTCACCCCAACACTGCCGTTACTCAAATCTCCAAACCCTGAGATGAGGAGACTGTGCCCCAGCCTTGTAAGGACTCTGCTACCATTGGTCAGATCCTGGAAGTTCAGTGTCCTGCCTGGCGACAGGTGGTTCTCAATGTCACGTCCGGACAGAGTCTGTGCAGAGTACAGGAGACAAGTTACACTCCGGAACATGCTGGGTAAGGAAATGAACAATGCAGAACCTGTAGTCTGCCTCAGTGACATTCATCCAACACAATAAAAATGAGTTCAACCATTTCTTTCCATTTAAGGGAAAAGATGTAAAGCATAATCTCACTCTCATGATGATTTAAGTGAGTGATTTGCTTGTTCAGGTATTGCATTAGTACCCAGAAATCATTTAATGTCTCAGCAATATAAGTTAATGTATTTTTTTTCAAGAAACAATTTCTGCACAATGACAGAGCTCTACACTTGGAAATCCATGCTATTTTAAGAGCTAAAACTGTGGATTTAAAGCTCAGGCTTTAAATACGTCTGTCAGCAGCTGTCACCTCATTGTCCAGCAGGGCACTGTTGTCAGGCACAAAGAGAGTGGAGTGGACTGTCAGATTTCTCAAATGATTTAAAAAGTCCTTTCCATGGTGTGAGTTACTAGAATAGTTAAGGATTTGCTGAAAGAAAAAAAAGAAAAACAATGTTATGAATTCCAGAATATAAATTATATAAATACATCAAATAAAGGTTGTATGATGGATTAATGCCCTGAACTAGGCCTCTACTGTCTATACTTACAGATATACCACACAATGTTTGAGGGTACTGGTTCCAGGCAGACATTGCTCTTCAGGTCTGTGGTAGTTAACTCAAAAACCTGCAATGCGGAGTACAAATACAGGCTTGCCTACAGTATATTCTGACCTCTCTGTAACTGTACCACTGAGTATTATAGCACATAGATGCAGCTACTTTGAATAATCTTCATCTTACAGCGAGATGTTTAATGCATCTTCAGTGGTCTCACAGTCAGCTGGGCTACTCACACTGAGGAAGTTGGAGAAGGTGGGTTTCAGTTGGAGTACTTGGAGAAGATTCCCACTGCAGGAGCTGCCATCGCCAATGTAGCCTGGCTTACAGGTGCACTTCACATCTACAGCAGACAGCCACAGCATGGGGTCAACAGCACACAACAGTTCTCATCCACAGCAGACAGCCACAGCATGGGGTCAACAGCACACAACACTTCACACTGAGACAATCAGAGACTTTGAAAGCATTGTGAAATTGTCAAGAGAGCACACATCATTATCTCAGGACCTGTAGTCCTCCAGTGTCTCTTAATTTGAGAATAGTAAAACAGATTGCAAAACCTGTGTGGAATGTAATAGTCCAGACAGCCATATTCGCAATAAGGTGTTCTCCTCTGGCAAATCCTTTAAGTAATAATTAAAATGGCTGTGAAATTTACTGCTCTAATTGGTCTCAGTGTTACTGTGAGACCCCAGTCCCCTGTCAGGGTTACTGGTGAGACCCCAGTCCTCTCTGAGTGTTGCTGTGAGACCCCAGTCTTCTGTCAGGGTTACTAGTGAGACCCCAGCCCTCACCGAGTGTTACTGGTGAGACTCCAGTCCTCTGTCAGAGTTACTGGTGAGACCCCAGTCCTCTCTGTGTTGCTGTGAGACTCCAGTCCTCTATCAGTGTTACTGGTGAGACCCCAGTGCCCTCATTGGGTTACTGGTGAGACCCAGACCTTACCCTTTATCCTGTAGCAGAATGTATCCCAGGTCTCACTCAGGTTCACACGGATGCCATAGTCCACAATGCCCACATGCCCAAACCCACATTTGGGGTTTGCGTAGACGGTGGGGTACGCTACCCGCTTGCCAGCCAGCCAGCCCGCCGCACAGATGTGGAACCCAGCCTGAGGAGGAGGAGAACAGGCTTCTCATACTGATGAGCTCCACACCAATGTACACAGCCTGCACTTTCACCAGAGACCTGCACAGCCCATGAAGTTGTGCTTCAGCACGAAGAGTCTCCACACCACACACTGGCTTGGACATGGGTGTGGATGTGCTATAGGGAAACTGGATAAATCTACTCTGTTTTATGGTGGTGGTGGGAATGTGTGCTTATTGCAGGTGACAAACTGTAGACAATTGGGCCCAAAATTTATCTTATCTAAAAAAAAAGGGCGGGGTGATGGGACTGTGGCTCAGGATCTGTGCCTGTGGCTGGAAGGTGGCCAGTTCAAATCCCGCAGCTGGCAGAGGAATCCTACTCCACTGGGCCCCTGAGCAAGGCCCTTCACCCCAACTGCTCCAGTGCTGTATAAATGCCTGACCCTGTGCTCTGACCCCCAGCTTCTCTCCCTGTCTGTGTGTCTCATGGAGAGCAAGCTAGGGTATGCAAAAAGACTAATACCTAATGCAAGAAATTGTATATGGCCAATAAAGTGGTCTTATCTAATTGTGTTAAAATGTATCAGAGTAGAGAGAGTAATTTTATTGCCATATATACATGTACACTGGAATTCTTAATCAGTGTGGCAGTGAGAAAAAAAACCATGGTAGACCATGCATAAAGTGCAGAGTGCCGATGTGTATTGAGCCCGAGGCTCTGCAGTTAGCAGTTAGAGGATGTGTACTGCAGTGGGAAAGCAGCTGTTCTTGAGTCTAGTGGTCCTTGCTTTAACAGTGCGGTACCGCTTGCCAGAGTGTTTCCTCACAAACCCGCAGGGCTCCAGCTTTAAAAGGCGAATATACACTGAATGTTAGGCGAAGGGGGAGAGAAGATGGCATTTTCAGATGTCTGTCCGGCGACGTGAGGGCAGCACCTGCTGTGCGTAGGAGAGCTGGGTGTAGGTGGCGACAGTCGCTTCCTGCTTTCGGCAGCTCTCCTGCGACTCCGCGTAGTTCAGCTTGTAGGGGCCCCTGGGTGAGCGCAGGTGGAAAACCCCCACCGTTTTGTCTGCAAGGAAATCAATCTCACATGAGGCACAGGCTGCCCTCCCCCGAGCCAGGCGGACCAGGACCCATTTAAAACCCGCACTCTAGGTGACACAGCCAAGGAGACGGATTTTCCTCTTTTTTTTTTTGACAGAACAACCGAGGACAGCGCTGCTAGGCACAACAAGACGTTCACACTTCATCCAAAAAGTCTCATTAAGAAAGCTTGAGGGCAGAGGACACTGTGGATGTGTGATGGCAAGCAGCTTCCCCCTCTCTGGGGGGCGAGAGGCAACTCACCTTCGAAGTGCAGGTCGGCGCAGAGCGCGTCAGGGTGGCACCAGCCGTTGCTCTGTGTGCAGCGGTTGATCGGCAGCTCCTTCACCTCGCAGTCCAGCCCGTCGCCAATGTAGCCGCTCTTGCACTCACACCTCCTCTTGCCCTGCCAGAGAACAACAGTGTCGGCTCTGCCAGCAGGGGGAGACCTTCCTGCATTCTAGCCCGCCTCCTCCGAGTGACCCCATATCACCGCTCCCCTCATCTTTTGCCCCCCACTGCTACCACAGGGTGTTGCACTTGACCGGACTCAGGAAGCATCACGTCATTCCTTTTGCTTCGAAAACAGAACACAAACCAGCAACTGACAGTAAAATATCTCCACATGCCAGGGAAGAGGCAGAGTGCTCAGCCAAACCGTGGGGATCAGCTGGACGTGGGGGACACAGGGGGGCGATGCTGGCTTACCGGCCCGGTCATGGTGCAGACAGCGTGCTCGTGGCAGCCCCCGTTGTCATCCTCGACGCAGGGGTCGACGGGGATGCAGTCGTAGCCGTCGCCGGAGTGGCCCTTGGGGCACGTGCAGGTCACCTCCACCCCTTTCTGCGTGCACTTTGAGATTTGGGCACAACCCCCATTCTGCTGCTGGCATAGGTTCACAACTGCATGGCGACAATCAGAACATCAGGACAGGGCTCCTAAACCACCACTGCATTTCCCAGCCTGTCTTTCTTTATTAAAGGGCCAGAGCGGCAGCTCTGTGGCTCAGGATCTGCGCCTGTGGCTGGAAGGTTGCCGGTTCGTATCCTGCGGTCGGCAGAGGAATCCTACTCGGTTGGGCCCCTGAGCAAGGCCCTTCACCCCAGCTGTTCCAGGGGTGCCATATAAATGGCCGAGCCTGCACTGTGACCCCCAGCTTCTGTCCCTGTCTGTGTGTCTCATGGAGAGCAAGCTGGGGTCTTCGAAAAGACAAATTTCTAATACAAGAAATTGTATATGGCTAATAAAGTGATCTGATCTTACCTTAAAGTGCAGTTTAACTCCCCAGAAAGAGGAATCTCGCAGGATGCCACTGTGTGAGATAATACTGTCGGCCAAAGTGCCGTTTTCTCTGACTGTACTGTTCATGTCAGCACTAAAATAATCATGAACACGGTGCTCAGGATTCAATTGTTTCCTAAACAGAAATGAAGACCCCTAAGGCACCAGCATTGTTTTTTTAGGTAGCTTACACTTCTGTCACCCAGTTTTCACGTCTCTGACTGTCAGGGAAGACAACGATCTACAGGAAATATTCTGTAGGCGCTCAAGCCCAAATAGCTCTCAATTCCGTTTTTCTAGGACTTTTAGGCCTTGATTCTCACTTGAGGTCCCCCCAGGAAGGATGAAGTTTGGGGATCTACAGTACATGAGAAGCTATTTGAACAGCTTCCTCTTTCTCAAAACTTATAATGATATTTTCTGACCTGTGCAAGTTCTTCCATCTCCCTCGTAGAAAGGCTTGCATTCACAGTTGTTGCCCTCTTTGCATACAGCATTCTGGGAGCAGGTAGGGGAGCAGACAGGCTCTACAGCTAAGAGACACAGTGTTGTGCTTAGTACTCAGTACTACTTCACGTTTAATGGCTAAACAAGAATAGAGGAGCACAAGCAGAAGTAAATTGAAATTGAAACGAGGATTTTTTTTTACTCTGTGCATTAAGGATTTTGATACAAGATGGCCAAATACATTGGTGAAGCTAACAATCTGGTACTCCTCAAGAAGTGGCAAAAAACTAAGTCTGTCAACCTGTAAGGTCTTTAACACCTTTTCAATAAGTCAGTATTGCAGATTGCTTCTGAATCTGAATGGGTATGTATAGAAAAAAAGTTCACACAATTTGTCATAAGGAATGCTGACTCATTGAAAACATATTAAAGACTTCACAGAGCTAAGCAGCTGCTGTTGAGAACTGTGCAGGCAGTGTGTCTGTAGGGAGCACACCTGGGCGATCACAGGGAGCACACCTGGGCAATCACAGGGAGCACACCTGGGCAATCACAAGGGGCGCACCTGGGCAATCACAAGGGGCGCACCTGGGCAATCACAGGGGGCGCACCTGAGCAATCACAGGGGGCGCACCTGGGCAATCACAGGGAGTGCACCTGGGCGATCACAGGGAGCGCACCTGGGCGATCACAGGGAGAGCACCTGAGCGATCACAAGGAGCGCACCTGAGCGATCACAGGGGGCGCACCTGGGCAATCACAGGGAGCACACAGGGCAGTGATTACCTAGCTGAGTTTCACAGGTGGTCCCAGTCCAGCCCTCGGCACAGAAGCAGGTGCCACTTCCTGTGACGCCCTCATCACACTGTCCATGTTCGGTGCAGTTGCAGACTACAGAAACAAACAGAAGATAATCGGAATCATTTATAAAAAAATACAGCAGCACATGTTCACACTAAATGAAAAGACTGTTAAAGCCTGACCTTGATGTAAGTACTGTATGTAACAGAGTGATGGAGTAATGATATTCTGCAAGTAGAGTTATCAGTTTATCTTGTATGTTCTGAGCAGCATCTTTGCAGTCCTGGTGCTTTAGCTAGACTTATGCCATGAATGGCTCTTACTTTACTGTGGTATGACTGTGTCTGAGCATGCTGGGAATTATCTTTCACCACTGATGCACAGCCTTGATGCTACTGTCCTGTCAGCTACCAACATCATGAATCCATGGAGAAAAGCAGCAGAATGCAGGGAGATTACAGAGACACACTTGGCCTGTATTTGACAGTGTAAGAGACGGAGTGTGAAATGGAGAGAGACCTTGGCAGCTGGCGCCATAGTGTCCAGGGAGACACAGCTCACAGGCTGTTCCCGTGAATCCTGGCTCACAGGTGCAGTTTCCGCTTCCACTGCGCCCATCGTCACACTTCCCGTGGAGACTGCAGGGCCCCCCAGCGCCCCCGGGGCAGGCTGGGAACACACAGACCACAGAGAAACACCCAGACCGTAAACAAGCAACACAAAGTCAGCTCACAGTGTTGGTTTTGCAACAGACCACAGTCCGGATGGGAGGTAAAAATGACCGATTCAGTAATTTGTCTGAAAGCGATTACCTAGACAGTCACGGCCAAAGTAGCTGGGGCAGCACTTGGGCCGCCAGAGGACCACGGAACAGGTGTGCTGGCAGCCGGGGTCCAGGAAGGTGAAAGACGTCAAGATGTCACACTTCTTTACTGCCCTCTGAACGAGAAGCAAGAAGACGGAGAGTGAATCCTCTTCTGCCTCCTCTAGACTCTCCAGGATCTCACATCCTGTTGGTCTCCCTGCCTCTCCATCCACCCACAGTGCGACAGCTCGCTTCTTTCTCATTCTCTCTACCTCTTGCCTGGTCCCCGCCTCTGTGCTGCTTATTTCTGCTTGTATGACATTCAAGATACCTATCTCCTCTCTTCATCGCTTTGCCTCCTCATTTCCCCTCTCATCCTCTCTACTCTTACTACATCCTGTCTTCCTTCTCCTGCTTCTGTAAGGTTGTTAGCATTATTAGCAACCTCAGATTAATAAGCCTACCTACAGTACAGCCAAAAAAGCAAGAAACATCCAGTGGCCTGTTTCCAGCCGTAACCTTTATTATTCTTGTGCAAGGAGGATTTTCAGCTCTGTGGCTTTGGGAATAGCAGCTCATGTGAGGACCTGCCGCGATGGAAACTTGAACCAGAGATATTCAGAAGCCTCCAGGAGCTGCCCTGCATGTCACGCGATCTCAGCGCAGGACTGGAGAGGCTGGTGTTTACCTGCTTGCTGTTATAGGGGCAGGGTGGTATACTGGAGCACCTTCCACAGCGTCCCTGTCACAGAAACAATTCGCGTTACCACAAACCACAGAGAACCCTAGAATTCTGGATGGGCATTCGTTGCAATTGCGATTGCAGGGCAATGGCACTGTGGTTAAAGATCTGTGCCTGTGGCTGGAAGGTTGCTGGTTTAAATCCCACAGCTGGCAGAGGAATCCTACTCTGTTGGGCCCCTGAGCAAGGCCCTTCACCCCAGCTGCTCCAGGGGTGCTGTATAAATGTCTGACCCTGCGCTCAGACCCCCAGCTTCTCTCCCTGTCTGTGTGTCTCATGGAGAGCAAGATGGGGTCTGTGAAAAGACTAATTCCTAATGCAAGAAATTGTATATGGCCAATAAAGTAATCTTATCTTAATTTAAATCTTGAACTTGACTCTCTGGTTTTACAATTGTCTTCAATGAACGATTAACTGTAACCAGAATGAATGAAGTAAGTGGTGTGTTTGGCTAACAGAGCTGAGGCAGCACCAGGCGGGAGGCCGTCTCTGAGAAATCACTGACCAGGATGTCAATGGTGTCCATGGTGTCACAGCGGCCGCCGAAGCTCGGAGGGCTCAGGAGGCAGTCGATGCCGTGAGCAATCCCGCCGTTGAACACGAGCTGCCGCTGCACTATCCTGCACTTCCCGTCGTTGAGAAAGAGGTCCCCCTGCGATGAGCGTGAGACGGAAACGCCAGAGTGAGGCCGATGAAGAGCAAAGCACGGCCAGATCCAGACAAAGAGCGTCGCAGCACGAGTGGAGACGTGTCAACAGTGTGTGAAGCAGACCTGATGTCCGCAGGTGAAATTGCCTCAGAAAAAAATAATATCCAAGAAAACAGCTAACAGCTAAGACTAACAGAGCCACACGGTTCTGAGACTGAGCTAGAACGAGCTTTAAGGAGACATTATTTCTACTGCATAATCTACAAGTGGACCTAATTTTAAGATAGACTCAATCAACGTGCTGGAGGCCCAGTTTGGAAAAAAGAAAAAGATACATAAAATGGCTTGTGCCAAAATGCACTTCAAGTTTGAAATGTTATAAAAACCAATTAATTAAACTGAGCTTTTTAAAAATATGTTGATTAGTTACATTAGGTAATTAATCCAACTGAAATGATTTGTAGAGTAACATTATTCACAGTTGTGTAAAATGCATACATCTTCTAGCTCTTAGGGATATACAGTAGAAACCTTTTGTGATACTTACATATTTGCAAAATAATTTAAATCAATGTAAGCAGACACTGAGGTTCCATACAGGATAGGTCATTACCATCAGCTACCAGTCTTAAATCCCCAAATGTACTGAATTGATACTAAAGAACCTAATAAAACTGCCTAAGATTCACAACTATTTAATTTTTTTGTTGTATCCATGTTTATTTATCCTTTGGATACATATTAAATACAGAATAAGCCACAGAAACAATTGATTTAATATGCATATATGTTTGTATGTCATTAGCATAACCACAAACATCACAATAGCTAATTATCGAGAGTTTAATATGTAGATATAAAAATAAAATTGTCCCATGTCCTTGATAGGAAACAGAAGCAATAAGGCAGGCATCAAACTTAATTCCACCCAAAGTGACAAATTATTTTTGGTCAGACAGATAACAGCTAAACCACTTTAATACTGTACCACAGAGCTTAATCTAATACTCTTACTGATGTAACAAAATACATGATTCGTCAAATCGGAATGAGGCCACAAGGACAATGGAACAAGAAAAGCTGGAAATCCTGAGTTGGCATCCAACAGGAGAACTTTCACCTCCTTAACTGAGGTTGTCCCTGTGCTGTGAGCAGATCTCAAATTAGACCAAAGGCATTAAAATAGCCAGTTCAGCATTCAGTAAGACAGGAGCTGACCTGTTGCCACTCACCCGCCTATAAATCACATTGGACTGATACCAATTACTTTTTTTCAGGGGATGAGTAACTCCAACTTGTAGAAATGTTTGAATCAAAGAACTGCAAAGAAATCTTAATGGCCACCAGACTCCTGCCTGCCAGGCTTGATTCTGCCTCTAGACTAAGAAACGAAAAGACTCCTTCAGGACTCCTGTATTAGGGCTGACATGTTAATTTCACATGGCACAGCGTCACTGTGTTGTTTTTGTTAGGGAGCAAGCAGTGCTATGTATGGGGTGCTCTAACTTCACCGCCTCATCATCCTTCCATACATTCAGGTCACAGAGCAAACAGCACTTACTATCCTGCCTGCTCCTCCGCAGCGGACCTGCAGCTCAGAGCCCTGGAGGGTCACCAGCGCTGACGAATGAGGAAGATCCGAAGCCAGAATCTGAGGACAAGAGAACACTGGTTACGGAAGCAGCATATTCACACATGTCATGTCATGTTCATGAGCAATTTAAACCCCTAGAAGGAAAAGCGTGCCATACAGGTACGGATGACTATGGTTCTTTCAATCAATTACATTAGTGGACATCTGTATTTGCCCAAACTGGTGGCAACTGCTATGTTGAGGCAGGAGAGGCTTGTCCAAGTGGGCTTTCAGCTCAATAAATAAATAAAGAACTTGGGCATAAAAAAAACTTTGCTGCCATCTTACCAGTGGATTCAGAGTATACAGCATTTTTCAAGAAAGTTGACAAAAAGTCTGGATTCGACATTTTTATTATTTCCTTGTTAATTTCAGTTGACTAAAACAACTAAATTTAAGTTTCAAATTAGTTTTTCAAGATATTACCTGAAATAGTTCAGGGACACATTTATGTGACAAATACACAATATTGAAACCAGCAGAGACACTGCAAACTTCTTGTATGCAGTATGTATTTGTATGCTTTGATAACTTCAAAACCATAATAAAGGCTTATGTAATAGACTGTACTACATACATATCTGTATTAGGACCATTGGTCTTATTCTTTTAGATCAATGATCTAAAATCTGGAATAGTTAGTAACCAGTCAAGTTTGCAGATGATAACATATTAGGAGGTTAGCAAACATTGCAAGTAGCAGCAAATCTTTAGGAATGTCAAGACTGGAGAACCACTTGGGAGCTAATGTTTAATGTGAACAAGAGCAGGAATTTGTATGCTGATAGTAAAAACATAATCTGTAAACACATAATGAATCACAGACTTAGAAGAGGATTTTGACACATCATCTACATTTTGCAGGCAATGTGGAGAATCAATTAAGATGGTAAGCAAAATGTTAGAATATAAACCTGAAAACTAATTTAAATCAAAAGAAGTTGTGTTAAAATTAAAATATATAATATGGTGTATAATTCGGGTCACTACATTATAGTCTTACCAAGACCTTCCCTCTGCTCCTCCCCCTCCCCCTTCACCCCGCCCCCTCCCTGTCTTCTCTTCACTCTGCTCCTCCCCCTCCCCCTTCACCCCGCCCCCTCCCTGTCTTCTCTTCACTCTGCTCCTCCCCCTCCCCCTTCACCCCGCCCCCTCCCTGTCTTCTCTTCACTCTGCTCCTCCCCCTCCCCCTTCACCCCGCCCCCTCCCTGTCTTCTCTTCACTCTGCTCCTCCCCCTCCCCCTTCACCCCGCCCCCTCCCTGTCTTCTCTTCACTCTGCTCCTCCCCCTCCCCCTTCACCCCGCCCCCTCCCTGTCTTCTCTTCACTCTGCTCCTCCCCCTCCCCCTTCACCCCGCAACAAGGGCCCCTAATTTCCTTGAATTCATTGAATAGGTGACTTTTAGTGCATGGGAACAATACTTCCAAATACTGCTGCTATGAAAACAGTTGAGGAAACAGACCTGCCCATCCCTGACGATGTGGTACTTCAGGTACTCGAGCAGCTTGTCTCTGTTGTCGGAGCTGTAGAGGAAGTCCTTCTGCTCCTGTGGCAGGGCAGCCATGGTGCGGTCCGTGGGCCAGAACAGGGTGACGGGCTGGTGGATTGGATCAGCCACCAGGCTGAGGACATCAGTGTCCTGCAAAGACCGAAGACAGAACAGCTGAGGTGCAAGTGGCGTTTCTGAGGGTGCTGGCCACGGCAACCGTGTGGGGTGCTGCTGCCGAACAAATGCATCACCAGGTCTTCGTTGTAAATGGAAATTTAGTCTTAATCGCCTTGGCTTGATAAACAGAGGTTTAAAATAAAAAAAGTCTTGCCAAACCGGTGAAACCTTTCCTCCTTGTATGTGGGCAAGCAGTAAAGCAGATAAGCTTTGCGTTTACATTGTTGTAATCATCAAAATAAACTGCTAAGAGGAATGCATGATTTAAAAATTCCTTGGTTAAAAAGAAGGTACAATTAGCCCCTCAAACAGCTAGGAAGATTGACTGTACAACTATAGTAAACAGACAGTCCTTAAAAGTGAGACCTCATTGGAGCCCAGCAACTGAATAGCACAGTGGTACTCACTTCCAGTAGTTTACTGAAGGTGGTGTAACCCTGCTGCTCAGCCACAGAGGTGAGGTTTTCCTGTTGAAAGAGATGATTTTGTTTGTTTAATATTAAAGAAACCTAAAGTCAAGAAATGTATTGCTTTTTGTCAAAGGTTTCTCGTTAGCAACAGCCTCATTTAATCTTTGTCATTAATCAGTGACTTCATTCTAGGAACATGCAGTATTACTGCAGAAAGAGGTTGTCAATCAAAAACATTCATGTAGAAAAGAAAAAAAAAACACTGAACTGTGCAGGTACATCTATTTGAAGACAACCTCAAATACCCCAACATGAAAAATGAATATCTGTAACACGCAAAACGCTGACATCCAGGAGGCAGTGTTTGCGTGTTTACCGGAATGATGCCGAAGTAGGTTTTCGGGATGACCTGAAGGTTCTTGGGCACGAGGATGGTGTCTATTTCATGAATTATGCCGTTGATGCTCATGGTGTCACTAGACACGACCTTGACCTTATTGTTCAGGTAGATTGTATCCTGTGAAAAGAGAAACAAGGATAGGATATCAAGTGGCTTTGGCTCCTCCGAAAAGAATGGCTGAACCGCATGTGTTGCATTGTAGTGACGAGGGTGTCATGCACTGCAATCGAGGCACAGGTGGTTTCTAAAAAGCTGGCGGTGAGCTGAGTAAATGTGCTCATTGTCTGGACGTTACCTCGGAAGAGGTGATGGTTATGGTCTCTCCCTGCAAGGTGGTGACGTTCTGCACGGCTGTCAGCTCCCCAGGCTGCAGAGCGTGGCAGGACACCAGGTGATAACGGAGAATCTGGGACAGCAAGCCTTTGGAAGACCACTTTGCCAGCTAAAACAGGAAACAGTACAAAGCAGCTTGCTCTCATCCACACACCTCGTTGCCAGGTAGATGGTATTGGCTTTACATCACATTTAACTGCTTGCTGAGACCAGATATAGACAGTCTGGTGTAGCGAAAGTGATCAGACATATTACTCACATTCCCTTCCTTTCTGAAGGCATCGGAGTTGGGAGCGAACACAGTAAAAGGACCATCCTGATCCAAGTCTTTGATTCTCTCAAGCTGAAAAGACAAGTCATGTCAGCTACAGGTTCACTGGGCTTGCAGGTAGGATGATGGCTAAGATAAATCTCCAGAAAACTTTCTCTTTGCATGAAATCGAATAAAAATGAAGGAATGAAGCATGCACTGTGGAGCATGCTGATGTTTGGGATTAAAGTGAAATGGGAATCTATTCAATCATGAAACAAATGCGGTCAAGGATCCTCCTAAATGCTCTAAAATGTGAGGAGTAAACATTTCTGATCAGTTTATTCTTCATTTTTCAGCGAATTTACTGTTGTCTTGGCCTTGTACTTTCAGCACTTCCAATACTGCATGCTAAAAAACAACTAGAATACACAAGATTGCACTACTTAGTAGTAAAGTAAAAAAAAATGTACCTGAAGTTTTAAATAAAACTCCTTAGTGTTGGTGTTTACAATAAGTTCCTGTAGGGAAAACATAATAGCACAATTTATACAGAGCATGAATTCAACATGAGCACCACATTGATCTTGGGTGTCAGGTGAGCACACCTGGCTGCCAGACATGTGAGGCACTGAGGTCAGCCTTAGCCATCACATCACAAAGACCAGTCATGGGGCTTCTACTGTGGTCAGAGTGGCCATGTGTCTGTCAGACCGCAAGAGCACCTAAAACCACAGCTGTAAGAGCACATTCTGACTGATCAGGAACTCTTTATCATGTATATTTACAACACAGATGTTAGTCATTCTTACTCTTTACTGGGACACTGATAACATTCACAAGCAGTCTTCTAAGTGCAGAACATTTGTAGATTTTATAGTGTTTTGATTCCATCTTCCAACACAACGGATTACTGTTTTCTTCTGCTTAGAACCACGATTACTCTCCAGTTACAAGGCAGAATAAAAATCAAAGTATTGCAAAAATACAAATTGAACATCCTGTATGGCTGTCAGGGTGACTGTACTGCACACTGGCCCTCAGGCTGTCCTTACAGCTGTGCTGGACACTGGCCCTCAGGGTGACTGTGCTGCTGTGCTGGACACTGGCCCTCAGGGTGACTGTGCTGCTGTGCTGTACACTGGCCCTCAGGCTGTCCTTACTGCTGTGCTGGACACTGGCCCTCAGGCTGTCCTTACTGCTGTGCTGGACACTGGCCCTGAGGGTGACCGTGCTGCTGTGCTGCACTGTACCTTGTTCAAGGTGCCCTTGCATTTCAGCCCGTCCCCCATGTATCCTCTTTTGCAGGTGCAGTTTCTCTCTCCTGGTCCGATGTGGGTGCATGTGGCATAGTCACTGCAGCCTCCATTTTTCTGTTGCCAAAGATTAAACAAAGACGCAGCCACAGGTCAGTAATGCCAGTGATGCTGCTGAAGGCATCTCTCAGACAGACTCACCGTCATTGGTTACTGTACATATGCAAATGTTTTTGGAATGTGTCATTTATTGATAAGTATCTGCATACAGTACTCAAATAACATCTGCAGATACTAAACGCAAACATAACTCTTTGCCCTATGAACTTGTCTAAGTGCCCATTAAAATGGAATAATGTATTTACTTCCATACTTCCTGTATCTCCGCAACCAGTCTGATGGCTTGTTTTCAAAGTTTTACCTGAACGGAAACCTCAGACACTGAGCACCTGACATTGTTATCAAATAACATAACTTGAGCAAGGTACTTATTTAATTACTCTAAGGAGCAGTAGTGCTCTAACAATTAGTAAGCCAATTTGCTCACACTTCAAAATGTAATTAATAGCATGTCTGCACCAAATAAATTGTTAATGTAAAACTAAGGCTGTTGTGTTTTTATGTGCACCAGTATATATTATCCACAATTTAAACACAAAATCTATAATATATTATCATTTTTTTCTGACTTACATATTTAATTTCACAGTTAAAAAAAAAGTTTTAATTTTATCTGGAGCTGCCAGGTTAAAATAATGTGTAATATATACAAGAAATATAGTGTAATGGGAGTCTTGCTATGGAAAGATCCCTTATTCATATTTTCAGATATTGTGATACAAATATTAAAGCCCACTTACCTTGAGGCAGGGGTTGATGGACTTACACATCTTTCCATTTCCAGAATAGCCACTTTTACAGTTACAAGCTGACTGCAAAGAAGAATTTTATAAAGAGACAGTTTTATATAATCTGTTTTGTCCTGGTATCCCATGTAATAGATTACGGTGAGACCACTCTATTCTGCCACGCATGCTTATTTGCAGATAGGGATTTTCTCACCTTTGAGGTGTTTTTTGTAATGCCCTGCATTAACTGTGAAACCATTTTTCAATGGCTGTTTAGTTACCCCATTACTTCTCTACAGGAATGGTTAGAATATTTCCCCAAGACACAAACAAGAAACAAAACACTGGACATAAGCAGACACGGACTGTTACAGAAAGAGGACTGAGCGCTTAAGCGCATCACACTACAGTATAAACTGAGCTGAAGTGCAGTTGGAAAGGAGGGAGACCGGACTCCAGAAAGACTTGCCGTTCTGCTGAGACGAGCGTGGGAAGAGTGAGCCCACTGGCAAAGCAAAGGGAAGAGATACTATAACTATAGAAGGGTGCCAGGGCCTCATCTCGCCAACACTCACCTGGTTCGGGCCAGTGTGGGTGCACTCTGCATTTTCCTGACACCCTCCATTATCTTCTAAACAAGGGTTGATTTCTGTAAAGATACAAGAACGTGAATAAAATACAATCAAACTAGTTGTACAGAGTGCACAATGAACATTTTGAAAGCTGTTCACCAGTAGCAATTCAGAGACTTATATTTAGATACTGTACTGCCCCCTCCTAAAGCCCAATGTTTTTTTTACTGAACACTAGAGGAGAACAGGCAAACTCATTCAGACCCACTACTGAACAAAACTGTTTGTTGAACAGTTGGATAAAAAATAAGTAGCAAACAGTGTCACACTAATCCAATGAGCCAAGAAGCAATACAGAGCAAGGTAACTAAATGATGAGATACTGTAGTGTGACATAAAACTAGTTATTTCAGCACTCAGCATTTTTAGTGTTTCTCTTTTGTCCCATCAGTAGTTTTCAGTAGACATGCTCTGCTACTTATACCCATCACTGAGAAATATTTTTGTGCTATAGTTACTCAAACAGTTGGATTCCTTTGTGACAAATAGGCCATTAAACTGAGCAATCCTTGTGAGTTCCCTTTTTTGACCTTCAGCTACATTGGAAAGAAGTGTGCGTTGGATGTTTCATGCATGTCAGGAATGACGCCCCATGTTACTATGTATTGTTCACCTACCCAGACACACCACCCCATCGCCAGAGTACCCTGTGTTGCAGGTGCACAGCCTCTTCCCTGGAGTGGTTCTCCTGCAGATTGCATTAGAGGAGCAGCCACCATTGTTAATTTCACAGGCATCTACAGCTGAAAGGAGAAAGGTGTTTAACGTTTATGTTTCAAACTTAAAAGCCCCAGTGTGGCCAAGCCCCTGATTTCTTTTGGGATGGTGCTCCAGATCTTGGCAGCACAGAAACACAGGGCCATCTCAGTCCAAGAGTGGAGATGAGTGGTGGGAGCTTGAAGTAAATGAGAACCATCTAAGTGAAGTTAGTGTAAAGGGAAGTAAACAGATAACATTTCACCTGAGCAGCCATACCATGTAGAAGCTTGAGCGTGAATAGATGATTCAAAACCTAACTGGAAGCCAGTGCAAGGACTCCAGGACAGGAGTAATGTGATCATGTGCCTGAGACCTAGACAGGTTTTCAGGTGACAACATCTGAACATACTGCAACATAGTGCATAGAGAATTCTGAAAGTGGGGTGTTACATCAATCAGTCTGAGAAAAGTTAATGTTCATCTTTCATCTACATTCATGCTCTTACTTTCAAATTAAACTACATTAAACAATTTTTCTGCTACAGAGAGACACATTGGCAATATATTTGAAATGGAAAAACAAAATGTACTTTTCTCTTTAAGATAATCTGCAAAAGGTTCAAAAGTCAATTCAGGATAAAAAATTATCCTCAAACTCTTCATATTGAATCAGAACCTGACAAGTCAAAGCACCGATTTCACATAACTGGTGAGAAAAATCACTTATGTGATCTCAGTCTTACCACAATTTACTGTACTTGCAAAAAAGTGATATAAAATAAAATTATAAAATTTTATAACAGAAACACAGAGAAAACTGAATCAGATGCCTTAGCATCAGGTTTAGAATGGGTATAAATCCGAGTATCATCTCCACAGAATTTTAGTATTTGGAAATGGAAATGTAATTACTGAACAGCAGAGGGCCCAGTATGGAGCCTTCTGGAAAAACAGAGGTGACAAACCCAACTTCAGAATTAAAAAAGAAATAAAGTTTCAGAAAAAGTGAATTCCAACCATTTAAGGACAGTATCAGAGAAGTGTGACCAAGAAGACAGGATGTAATTTACCTGTCATGTTATTACAGTATTAAATGCGACAAAAGTTTTAAGCACCAAAATTAGCTGTTATAAGAAGATAATTAGCAACTTCAGTAGGAACAGTATCAGTTTTGTGGAATTATCTAAAGTAGATTGACAGGATTTGAAAAGTGGTATTTAAAAAAAAATGTTTATTTACTGTGAGATGACTAGTTGTACTGAAAAAGCACATTCTTATATCTTCACAAGGAAAGGCCAGTTTGATATGGGCTGAGGAGTGTTAATTCAAATAAAAGTTAGAGCATCCAAAGCCATTCGAGGTTATTTAGAGACTGGTTGGACTGCAGCAGTGTTAAAATTGTCTGGCACCACTCCAGTGCTTGGTTCATGCTCTTACTTTCAATTGAAAGTACAACACAAGGCACAAGGCATGCACTGACCCTCTGCTCCAGTCCTGTAAAGGGTTGACTGGATTAGACATTAGAAAGCCTTAATGAGGCTCTGTCTTTCAGTACTCACCAGAGCAGAAGGTGCCATTTCCTCTAAAGCCAGCTGCACACTTGCAATGCGATGTGCCGTCAGACCGGACGAGGCAACTGGGAACGAGACATTCGTAATGTGAGTGCTTTGTGCTTTGTTGCAGACTTCGCCCTTCTCTAACAATGCTTTCATCACCGGTTCCATTCAAATCAACCTCAGGAGACACACATCAGAAAAGGTCTAGTCAGATCATCGCCGCCCGGTTTCTGCAATGCTGTACCATCCTTCTGCAGCTCCCTTTGCTTTCCAGTGCCACAGCGGCACCATAGCTTTTCAGTTGTTTTCGCCTGATGAACTATCAGAAAGCCACTGTATTACTTCTGGTAAGGGTCATAGTGCACAGTGCACAAGGCAGAATTATACCCTGGGCAAAGTGGAAACACTACGAAACACAGACAGCATGTTTCTAGATAATGAGAACAATCTGCAGCACCAGTAGAAAACTCATCTGGGCAGGGAGAAGAAGCAAAGCCAACGCCATCTGGGATCAAGCCCACAACCCAAGAAGTGTGAGGCTGCTGCACTAGTTCCCGCACCACTCTAACACTCATCGTTTGGATAATTTCCTTTGTAGTGTAAACTATGTGGAAGTGTGTTTAAAACTGAAAACAGGATGCAGTTCGTTACACATAGGGTTGTAGCAGTGAGGAATAACCTAACAGCCATGCTGTTGAAGCCATTACTTTGACTTTCTTGAAGTAATGGCTTCAAGAAAGGACTTGGGTTCAACTAGCTACTGAGTACCAAACAAACTGGATGGGCCAAATGGCTCCTTTTGATTGTTACCTTTCATACTGTATATAGTGTACCTACTGGTTGGGCCACAGGTGCTCTCCATGAAACAGTGTTTATACCACTGCACAGATGTCACACAATGTACTGCAAAACAATCTTGACAGCGTAATTTTAAAATAAGACTAAACATAAATTTTAGTCACACACCCACTCCCCTGCTGCAGCCCTCTTAATGTATGTAGCTCTTTGAACAGGCAGCTTTTTATCTCAAAAGATAAACAACTCTTAATTATTATCTTAAAAGACCCATCACTTTTTAAGAGCTGTAGGACCTTAAACTGGGGGTCAACCAGTCCAGCTGGTAGGGCCTGGGCTGTGCAGTCAACGGGGTTCGAGCCTGGGTCATGTCTGCAGCCACCAGCAACCAGGACTCCCCCAGCTGGTGGCGCAGAGTGGCGTCAGGGGCAGGGCCCCTGCAGCCTCCAGCAGACTCACAGGCTCACAGGTACGCCAGAGAGCGACAGGCCTGCTCCCAGCCTCCTGCCAGCTGCTGCTGCACAAAGCAGAGGCTCTGCGAGGCATTCTGCCCTCAATGGCAAAGTTGCAACGCCAGACCAGGTGGGTATATAATAAAAACAGGTGGTGATTCTAGAAGAATAAAAAGGAAGGCCTGATAAACATGCCAAACGACTTCAGACTGGGCCTGTTAGACGACTAGACTGGCATTATCTGGGCCTTGCAGCACTCGCAGCACAGGGGAGCTGGGAAAGTTAAAGCACTGGTGTCAGGAGTAACATCTACATACTTTGCGCTTGTGTGGCAGGTACCGTTGCATGAATCCTGCGTGATTTCTACAACAAAAAGAAAGAAAACAGACCCTGGTTATAACACAGCACCGACACGCAGTAGATCAGCCCGCAGCTGAGCCGGGTCCGGCGGCCGACGGAAGGTGTGAGGGTGAAAACCCGGGAACGTGCTCCTTACCGCTGTCGCAGAGCACGCCTCTCCACCCCAGCTCACACTCACACACGCCGTCGCCCGAGACCCCAGCACTGCAGATACCGTGGGCACAGGCGCACTCTGTGGGCGACAAGGCACAGGGATCAATCCTCCCTTTCCTCATGCGGTGTTTTGTGTTTTTTTCTCCCCAGTGTCTTTTCGCCAGCGTGCAGACGGGCCGGTCACACCTTGGTCACAGTGGACCCCGTATCTGCTGGTCTGGCAGTCTTCACAGGCAGTTCCGTTGAAGCCCGGCCGGCACTGGCACTCCCCTGAGCCGTTGATCCGGTCCAGACACAGCCCGTTGCCGAAGCAGGGCTTGCCCGGCGGTCCAGGACAGGGCTCGCACTGGGCCCCAAAGAAGCCCTCGCAGCAGTCCCAGATCTGAAAGGCAAGTCGCTTGGGTCACCCGGGCCGCCCCGTGTCTGAATTGACAGCATTGAGCGTTGAGTTCAGGACAGCCAGGTGACGCTCTAGACAAGCCTCATTCCTTGACATACTTCCTGTACCAGACAGACCCAAACCTCACATACATTTCATTCGTGCATCGAGTGTGCCAGGGGGGACTGCACCCTGCATCCTGGGCAGCACGCAGGAGACCTCGGCGATTCTGATGCGCGAATCTAGCGATCGCTTGAACCGCATCGCCGTGGTAGGGGAGCTCAAAGAGGAATGGGCAGGAGAGCACAAGCTGTGGAACAGCAGGCTCTTCCCAAGGTGAGATGTGAATGTGTCAGATGGCCTATGTGCACCTGTCCTGCATTATGCACTGATACTTGGTACGACACGAAAATACTCTGTTTTTATTGTGCACTCAGGGGGATTAAAAACACATGGATACAAGCATTGGAACCAATACCATTTATTCTATTTTGATGCCTCTCAGTATGCATGTACTATTATGTACTGAATATAGCGTGTATTTTTGAGGTTATATTCTACAGCTTATTAATCAATCTGGACTGTATATTGCTTTGAACAAAGGAATCATTTAAAGGAGTAATAATAACTGCATATTCAGTAAATAGGCCATAAGAACAGACGAACGGATGCAAACGAGAAAGAGGCCATTAGGCCTGTCCAGTCCATTGGGTCTTCCAAAGCCTTTTGCTTTTTGAAGAGCAGGGCTGTGCAAGCCCTGTGGAAGGAGGTCGGCACTCATGGGACTTACCACGGTTGTGTTGGCGCACGCTGGCCTGCATCCAATGCTGAAGAAACGTTGGCCCAGGATGTAGTATCTGTGAAGGCAGTTGTTCCGGACTCCTAACTAGTGAAAAGACATGCAGACATCAGTACAGTAGGGAAAGTGACCACACCATCAGAAACGATTGATTATTCCCCTTTCCTTTAGGCTGACTACAGTGCGTTTTCATTCACATGTAAATAAATAGGAAATGGAGTGAGGTCTCTCACTCCTGGCAGAAGGTTTGTGACTGAAGCTGGGCGGTTGGTGTGCTGTGTGTTCTTTTTTTATTTTTTATTTTAGAGAACAAACAAAACCAATTTACATATAATTACAATTACTCAGCCTTACTTCTACAATACACATTCGACTATACATCACAAGCAAAAATGGCCTTTTCCTATTTGTTCCCATTGTATTTTACAATTATATCACTTTTAAGCAAACTATATACATTCAAAATGAGGAAGATGTATACTTTTATGAATATGAAGAGGGGGGGAGACTATATAAATGTACCTTATTAATTAAGTTTAAGTTATTTTGTATCTCAACAAATTCAGACCTTAAAGGTTTAATGTACTTAACCCATGTGCTGTGTGTTCTAAGTGTGACTGGGCTCACTTACACACTACCCTTGGTCCATACCAGACATACACAAGTCCTTACAATGCTGTTGAACCAATTCAGACAGCAGTCCAGTATAAGACCTATGATGTGAACTAAAGAAAACAGTTTCACAGATGCATTTTTCCTAAAATCAGCTTTCTGTTACATTTGAAGAAAGGTACAAGATGTGAAGAAGGAGTTAACTGATTCCTTTCTGCATGAGGACTGGACTTCTAAGTAACAGGCTAGAGTTATGGCAGGAAAGGGGGATAACTGATAAGGATTCCAGATGCCAGCTAGGAAACCCCAGGGAGGGTAATCTAAAACCCTGACCATTAGGCCAAAAGTCTGTGAACTGTCCAAATACTGTGACCTCCCCCCTTCACCATAATAATGAGCTACGTCAGAAGCGGCAGGAAAGGGCTATATAAACTGGAAGTTTGGTACCGGCACTTTGAACAATACTTCGGTTTTGTTGTTCCTTGCGGGAACAAGACTTCAGTTTTATTGTTCCTTGCATACAATAAACTCATCTGTTTAACTTCATCTCGGGATCCAGAACTTATTTTTCTGTTACAACACATTGTATCATGTATATTTTAGAGATGTGTTCCATTATGCTGTTTAGACCATTTTATAATCTTACAGTATTTCATTGAGCATCGTTATACTTTCTGTGTATTTCATTATGATCTTCTTTAAAGTGTTTTGCACTTTGTTAAAAAAACATATTAGTTATATGATGATCGCATGGAGATCCAGGAATTTGACAAATAAAATCTGGGTGCTCCCTCAAATTCCAGAACTGCTTCTTTCTGCCAGTGTGTTTGTTTTGCAAAAGAAAATGGAAAGTGCCCCAGACACAGTCATACACTCTATTTAAGTCTGGTGTCACAATTCAGTATGACTCTGGATGTGAAGGATTCTGGTGGCACAGAAGAATATTCCCATATGGAAATGTCTTAAAGCACACCTGCTGCATAGCAGGACTCACCACTGGTGATGTTCCTTTAGGACAGAGATTTTCTTTTGAGCAAGAACCACATTCTCCCTTCAAGAAAAACACAAAGCACAAACAACTGAGGAACATAGCAACATAAAATCATTATAGGCTTTGGCTTAAATGCTCGTTAGGTTAGATTCCTAGCCACCCTATGCTGAAACATATGATTCATCTACCGTTTTTCACAAACATCCTTATGCTTAGAGAGCTGCTACACCATTGTATTAAACGATTTATTAAGAATCAGGCAGTTTGTCGTAGCCCACGCGATAAGTTTGCATTCACTTTCTAATTAACCTCTTTATTTTCTTATAAGGGTCAGCAACCTTCCTTGATGTTAGAAGCGGCAAACCACTTTGATTGAGTCAGGGAATATTTTGTGAAGGTACATTCAATGTTTGCAAAACTCATTTTATTCTATATCAAATCTGGCTTGTGGCCCACTGGGTGTATTAGTTCAGGAATTTTAAAAATGGGTTTCTCATCATTTTATTCAACGGCATTTATTCTGTGGAACAAAATGACTAATTTCTTTTGTCTTGAATGCATCATATACAGTACACATACAAGTATGCAGTCATATAGTTCAGGTAGGGAGCTGCCTCAGCATGCATAGGCTGCAAAGGAACAAGTAAAAGTTTATTCCCTGCTGAAAAGAGAAGAAACGTGTTGCACCTGAACAGCCGAAACGTTTCTTTTCTTCTCTTTTTGGCATGGAAAACTGTAAACCTTTTACTTGTTCCTTTACAGTAATATAGTGTATTTTCTACATACTGCAGAGGACTGATAGTGATTTGTGCGTGTAAACACAGCTTCATGCTGGACACTGTCTCTGGACTCTCGCCTGCCGGGTTTCTGCAGAGCAGCATCCCAGGGGAACAGTACCTGGACGATATCCTTCAATTTTTTGCCACAGTGGTTCTGTTGGATCTTCAGGACCTTTTCCACTCCATGGATCACCCCTTGGTAAGTCTCCACATCAGTGAAGTTCAGCCGCGCGTCGTTGACAAACAGCTGTTGAGTAAGCCAGCCGTTACTTTTATGAGCCTCTCCTGAAGGAGGAACACAAATTAAGGTGCACAATGTTCTGAGGCTCGCACCATTTTATCTTGAGACACATTTTGGGGAGAGCCCAGTGGCTTACTTGGTTGTTCCTCATAAAGAATCCCACTTGGTAGGAGAATCCCAGCATTGTCTCCTGATGCTTCCCCTTCCGCAGGTCCGGCTCTAGAAGCTTCTCGGACAACACAATGTGGTACCTGATCGTGTTTTCTTCCTGGAAAGGATGAGATCACTTTATTGGTCAGATACAATTTCTTGCATTAGGGATTTGTCTTTTCGCAGACCCCAGCTTGCTCTCCATGAGACACACTGACAGGAAGAGAAGCTGGGGGTCAGAGCGCAGGGTCAGCCATTTATACAGCACCCCTGGAGCAGTTGGGGTTAAGGGCCTTGCTCAGGGGCCCAACGGAGTAGGATTCCTCTGCTGGCCGCAGGATATGAACTGGCAACCTTCCAGCCACAGGCTGGCAAATACTTTGGCTGCTAAGATGGCTTTAATTTCACAAGTTATTAAGTTCAAGTTAAACATTTTGCAAGGTGTTAATCTTATAAACTAGAACTTACTTATTCAAGGTCCAGGTTCTGAAAGGGTCATAACAAATTTAATTTTGGATTTAAAATGTTATAGGATAATTTTATATGAATAAACTAGGAGAACTAGCCGTTTAGCTGATCTCCAGGTATAGTGTAGTTTGGATGGATTATCCACCAGGAATGATAAATTAGTAAACTGCAGTGCTGAGAAAATTTTGTAAACACCCAATATAATCATGGGAATTACAATTTATTTTCACTCTACCCTTAATTACTCAAAACCAATTATTTTAAATTATGTTTTAACAAGCAAATTAGGACCAAATTTGGGAAACCCTGTCCTTTAGAATGGTCAGAGACTATGTGAGGTAGGTCTTCACCATACAGAACAGTGGAAATCCCTCATGCCATGATCAACAGTTAAATAGTAGGTGATGCTCATCAGTCAGCAGAGGATTACAAAACCACTGTTAGATAGTCTACAAATGGAAACTATTCAAGATCATGGTGGCTCTACCCACACCTAGTAAAGAAAGAGATCCCAGAGAGTCATTGCTGTGCAGTTTCCAAATAAGAGTGTTGACAGATTTATCCACACAAGGCTGTTTCCTGCTGATTCATTCGGTCACATAATTCAAATATATCTTATGTCTGTGAGTTAGATGTTCGATCAGTTTATCTTCATGTTGTATTGAGGCATGTACAGTATGAAGATCTAATTGCGTTTTAGGCTTGAAATATCTGAGAAAATGTTTTAAGCGTCTTTTTCTTGGTGTTGAGTTATTTTCAATGATTCTGCAATTTTGTGTGCAGGGCCTGCAGCTCTTCGCTATCGTTATTCATGATTATGACTGACTAATGTCTTTACCAAAGTTTAACGCCTATGAGCAAAGAGCTCCTCCGCTGTCACATACAATAAAAATATACTCTCTTTATGCTCCTGTTACCTGTGAACGACATGGCATTCTAGCAAGTATTTGATCACGGATTGTACTAGCAGGCATCATGAAGCTGAAAGCAGACCACATTTTCCAGATCAGTCACAGGACTCTTGGATCCCACTGGTCAATATCACACCTGTTCCTTAAGGTCCAGCAATGCAGACCAGCGAGGTTCTTACCAGTGTGGCAGAGCCATTTTCCTTCAGGAAAGCAGTGATGGCACCGTTGCTCGGAGCAAACACTGTGTATGCAGCAGCTGCTTCTATTTCCTCCGTCAGGTTGTATTGCTGAAAAGTAAGGTTTTGATCAGTGAGTGATGCTGCAAAAATCATAAATCTCAAAGACGCAATTAGGATCAGCCAAATAAAAGCATTGCTTGGTGGTTTCAGGATTTTTAAAGAACAAAACGCTTTCACAAATCTCCATTCTTTTTTTCCACGTAAATTAGAGTCACTGCAGTGCCAGGTCAGGAACTACACTCGTAGTAGCAGAGTAGAGGAATGTATTAACATGTACATTGTTATTCTTATTTGCGCCAAATCTCTCAAGACAATCACAGTACAGCAGACGACACCACATAATGTAGACAGTACATTACAAACATAATAAATAATAACGACCAGAACAATAAATACATTGTAGAGAACAATAAATATGTGGTAGAGTTAAAAAAAAACATGGTAGTCTGTTCAAAAAGTGCAGAGCACAGATGTACAATGAGTTCTGAGGCCCTGCAGTTAGCTGTTGAGGATGCGTATTGCGGTAGGATAGAAACCGTTCTTGAGTCTAGTGGACCGTGCTTTAAAGGTGGTGACAAGTTCATATGGGTTTATGCATTAATAAAGCCAGAAAAAAAACATTTTACATTTGATTGCATAGAATTCTGTTTGGTATCTCAAAGTCTCAAATTCTAAATCAATTTAAATTAAACGTGGAATTTGTTGGCAGCTGTTCAGATACCTCTAAAATGTTTGCAAATGAGCTTATTCAGAAGAACTAATGTAGATTAAATTACTTTCCCGTACTATAAGGTAGCTTCTGAAAACAGAGTGCTCGGGCATCTGGCTCAGCTGGGTGAGCAGGTCAGGAAGACCCTCACTCATCTTCTGATCAGGGATTAAGACCTGAAGTCAAATCATAAAAAAAAGGTTAGCACGTGTTACAGTAGATACTTCACAAATTCAGCACTTACAGGAAAAAAAACTGCAATACCACACTGTTTTCACGGAGTCGGGGGTTAGGAAGTCGGGAGTTTGAGGAGCAGTTCAAGTCTGTATGGTACAGTATACTATAGGTACAGTCCAGCTACTGTAATGTGCACATGTGCCAGTTTGGCTCCACCCATAACACAATTCACAGGAAAGATGAAGCGGTCGTCTTGCCTTATAAGGAATAAGGAGTGGTCCGCGGAGGTTTGTCTGTATTTGAAATGATTGTTAAGATGTACACAGGTGTGTGGCACTTGGGGACACCCAGAGCTTTTGTGACTGTGGCTGGACAGCTGGTGTCCTTGAGAAGCTAATTTGGCTGATTAACTGGCATGAGACTGTAGGCACACGCCTCCTTCTCACTCAGTGAGCAGCCAGTCATGAGCAGCTCAGGGGTCCCCTCAACCATGACCCCCAGAACCAGTCATGAGCAGCTCAGGTGTTCTCTCAACCCTGACCCGCAAAACCAGTATCGAACAGCTCAGGGGTCCCCTTAACCCTGATCCCCAAAACCAGTCATGAGCAGTTCAGGTGTCCCCTCAATGCCAAACCTCAGAAGGGCTGTTCTCACAGCTCCAGCCTCAGAAGAGATCAGACTGCGGACAAAGAAACTTTGAGTGAGTTTGGCCACAGAGCAGATGTTGGTGTAAAAAATAATGTGCTACTCTCACAGACTTGTGTGCAGGTTTTTGAACTTTTCCCCACTTACTTGACACATTTTTATATATAATGTTCTGTAATGTCCAGGACATACAGCCACCAGTGTTTCCCAGACTCACATGAGGTTCAGTCACGATTCATAAAAGTACATGATGGTACACATAGTACACACACGCACACATGCGCCCAAACACATACACACACGCACACACATTGATTTAAATGTTTTACCTTATCAATCAGATGAATAATTCCATTAGTTGCCGCAATATTAGGAGAAATGATCATGCCCCCATTAATTATAACTGTCTAAGAAAAATAAAAATGAACAATTAGTTAGTCTTTTATGCCGAACATTTTTCATGTGGACTTACATTTGATGTCTGGACTAAGGATGTCCTAAATGAGGCTGAATCTTCAAGATGTTGAACATCTTGACAATGACACACATGTCCAAACCTTTAACTAGTTCAGTGCATTTTACTTACAAACAATTTGATAATTTCTGGGTGCAGGACAGATAGTAATGAGCCTTAGCCTGACAGAGGCACCTCACCTCATTGATGTTTGACACACGAAGAGATGTCTTGCCCAGGGCAGTGGGCAGCAGGCCGGATGTTGTGTTGCGCAGATCTATGAGCTGGTTAATGCCTTGCGTTATGTGAAACCTGCAAGACGAGTCAGGTTAGCTGCTTGCTCTGAGGTGTAATTTATTATAGTTTGTATAGTAGGTGCATCACCTGTGGTGATGTACAAAATATAAAATTTACGTTAAGTACCGTGAGTGACATTCCCAGTGTGAGAGATAAGGACATTAGTGCAACGTGGTGTAAGAGTGACAGAAGCGTGTAACTGAGGTGTGAGAAGTCACAGGTACTGTCTATGGGTGAGCAGGGACTGAGAGGTGTCCAAAGACTGAGCAGACAGCTCACTCCGCCTCTGGGGAGAGAGAGTAGAGGCCGAAAGGCTAGGAGAAATAAATAAAGAAATAAAGAGCACATCACCACCAGACAGAAGCACAAGAACAGGCAGAGAGGAGCTAGGAATGGGACAGGAAGGTGCCCTCTAGGGGAAGGAAGAGGGTCGTGACAGTTGTGCGTCTTACTTCACAAAGCTTGGTAAGTTCTTCTGCATCAGCCAAAAGTCCTTGTCTTCTTTGGCCATCTTCTCCACTGCACGTGTGGAAGGCACAAGCAAAGTCACATTGGGACCTTCTGAGAGCATCTGGTGAAGACCTGAATCCTGCAAAACCACGAAGACTCGTGACTGGATCAGCGATCAGTCGCAATCACACAAATGACCTCACTGAAGGTTCAAAATTTTAAACAAAAGCAAGGAAAAGCAAAACGAAACTATACATTGCAATGTTTTGATAGTCCATTTGTTAAAACTATTGCTGTAACTTTATCTTTGACCTAGTGGCGATAGCGTCTCACCAGTCACTGTAACAGCTGTAGGCCATACATACAAGAACATATTTCTAGTGTACTTACGTTCACCCACTTGTTAAATTCACTCCCATCAGGTATTGTGGACAGCTCCTGAAGAAAAAGGAACCAAACAAATAACAACCTAACTGATGTGATCAACTGCTTTAGAAAAGATGACAAATCTTGCATAATAATTGACAGATATTAACCTTGCTCCCTGTTTTTTGCAGATTTTACACAGGCCATTACTTTACCCCTTATGTTTTGAAATGCATGCAGTCTCCAGCAACATGTAGTCTTGATCTAACAATTGACCTTTCTTAATGTTTCTGTAGACATATAAGCTATATTTTGCATGATAGTAAAATGCAGTTTTAATCTGAACTGAGTATATTGACTAGGTTTGTGCATCACAATGGAATATTAATTTACCTGCTCTTGCTCTGAACCCACACAGCAAAAGTGCTCTCAGTTGACTTCCATTTGGACAATGTTGTGATAACACTTATAGTAATCCAATGCATTTATAAAGCATTGTAATGGCAAAAAAAGAAAAAAATAGTGAACATAATTTTGGGAATTACAATTTCCTACCCTTGGTTAACTCAAGGCCATTCATTAACCTTGTTTAAACTGGTCTTTCCTTACAAAAAACAGATTTATATTTCTCAATTCAATGTTTTTCGGACACAAAGGTATATGAAGTATAGAAAATGAAGAATCAGAGTAGTATATGAAATAATAAGTGAGCCCCTGGTCTACTTTGCACAATTAACATGATAAATCAGGTGGTTAAATAACTGGATAACAAGTAAACAAAGGACTGAGCTGCACAAAGTCACAAAGAACCCCAGAATAACATCTAAAGATCTGCAGGCCTTCCACATCAGGAAAAGACAGAATAGGAGTGGTTTCAATGGAAGGATAGCCAAGAAGAAACCTAAAATAATTCTAAAAAGAACATCGCAGTTCACCAAAGAACCCCTTGATTCATAGTACCACTGGATGAAAATTATCTGGACAGAGAAGTCAAGAGTTGAACTTTTGGGCCCCGTTTTGTGTGTCAATAGCAAAACATTAGCTTCCAACAGAAGAGCCTCATCCTGCCGAACAAGCATGGTGAGGGGGGTATCACTGTTTTGGGCTTCTTTGCTGACTCAGACCCTGTATGTCTTGCCATCATTGATAGGATCATGACTTCTGCTTTGTATCTTACCTGCTTACCTTAAGAAGCTGTTTTAGAAGGTCCATCATTGTTTACATTGCTTGCAACCAGCAGCTGTTTTCATTGTGTTAATCCAATCACACTTCTAAATACAATTAACATTGTACAATGTACTAAAGACTGAAAAGGAAAACTTTGTCCCTGAATCCTATTTCAATTAAAGGGCTTTAATTGGAAGCACTCTGTTTTCTGCCAAAGATCCTACCCATCTCTATGATACCGGATTGACATAGTGGAGACTCATTCAGTAATCTCACTGTTTGAGAGGGTGGGTGAGACATGCATAAATAGTTGAAAAGCTGAAACCCACGAGGCTCTGCTCACCGTCGCCACATTTCCGTAACAAACAGTCCCGTCTCCCGCATATCCCTCCTGGCAGACGCACTTCCAGGAGCCAGGTGAGAGGTACTGACAGGTCGCCTGTTCAAACACCACAAGCGCAAACGAGAACATTATTCCTGTGGCATCATCAGCTTTAGTACTCAGAGTCTAAAGACCCACACGTGCTGTAGCTGGACTGATCACTGGATGTATACCTCAGGTCACGTTTGTAAATCAACCACAGTACACCGGCTTTAAGAAAAGTCCATTAATAGATATAGCACGGACTTAAGATTTTGTCTTAACTGAATTTACAAAATAAAACCAGTGTTTTAATTACTGCGCCTGTAACACTGCGGATTCTCTATGCAGGATGTGATCTCCTGTCTCTCAGGAACACCAGCAGGGAATCAGCTCGCAGTGCCCAGAGGGCAGCCCCCTGGGCTGGAGATGTGAGCGCTGTGAGATGGCACTACTACTCACATACTGTACTACTGTACTTGCAGCATGCAAGACTCTCTTTTGACACAGTGAGACCTAATATACTGTACAGTACACATCAATGCACCCTGACTGTTGGGATTTTAATTTCTAGAAACTTTAATGGTAGCAAAATGCCTTCACAGTTAAATTCTCAGTTTTTCCTATGTGAGATGTGACCACTGCATTCTGGTTATACCGTACAGCCATACAGTGGTTACTAGACTCACCATGTAATGACACTGCCCACTCTGCTCCACACACGGATTGACCGCGACACATTCCTTCCCGTTCCCACGAAATCCCTTCTTGCACTCGCAGTCACTCTGTTGTTCAAAAAGACAACTGAAACACTCTCCAAACACCAATGGCAAATGCCAGGGCTGCCTCATATCTTCCCTTCCAGAAAGACGAGGCATTTCAAGTGGGTATTCTCCTGACTCTAAAGAGGAGCAGTGATTGGTGAAATGCTTGAATCAGGTGATTTAGGCATCACCCAGCGTCTATTAGCCCAGTTTCAGAATAGGGCTAATTTCCCTCACTCTCACTCGGCCTCCACATTTTCCCACTGATCAGGTTCAATAAAGCAAGTAAATGCATGCAGTCTATGGGACATTACTAGTTATAGTAAACATAAATATGCTGAAATCCAGCATAATTAATCTAAATATAGGTATATTAGTAAATATTAATGTAAAACTCGAGCACTCAGAACTTGTTTTCTTCTGGACACGCTGTCACAGCATGTCCGCATCTTTTCCATCACTCTGCCAGAAGTGTATCAGTGCACATGCTCAGTTTTGACACTGCGCATGATGGCTGACCTCCAAACATCCAGACCGTTCACAGTTGTATTTGCTGGACAGCCTGTTATTGTGCTTTTAACATATACTGCCCCAGCCGACGGCTGGCAGCGGCAGCTGCACCTGCAGCCTGTCTTGGCGTCAGTGTTCCTAGAACAGTGTGGAGATACAGAAGCAGTCAGCCAGCAGGAGGAGCTGTTCTGCATGACATGTGGGCGTCATCAGCTACGTGCAGCTGGATTGCGTCTCCCACTGGTGTATTTCTTTCCGCTGGCTGTGCTCTGCGTCCTTGAGGCTTTTGAACTAAAATATTAGCCTGGTTTGCCGTCACCTTCAGTAAAGCCACAAAGGCATGCTCAGCAGCATCCGTGCCTCTTGTGAGGCCTCTGACTGTAATCCTTTCCTATAGCATAACACACTAATGAAACACCTGATCCACTACTTTCTAGACTTCATGAACGGCACATATTATACATATTATTCCCAGTGATTTAGGTGTAAGTGGTCTCCTCTGTGGAGCCTACAGTACCACTTAATCCTTCAGTAGTGCAGAGGAGTATATGGTACATTCCTATGAAGCGTACAACATGGTATTTAACATCGAAACAGCTCTCACAGCTAAAGACCTCTTACCTGCCCTGGCCCGATGTGAATGCAGTTGGCGTTCTGGTGGCAGCCCCCCCTGCGTGGCTCCAAGCAGTGATTGATTTCCTGGCACCCATCGCCATCAGCCCTCCAGCCTGCCAGACACTCGCACACGTGGGCCCCAGGCCCCGTCTTCACACACTTGGCCTGAGCAAGAGAGCAAGTGGGGGTGAGAGTGCAGAACGGGGGCGCTGGTTAATAATCCCACGACACACATACAATGCCGCATTCAGAAAATATTAAAAACAGCCCGTTTCGTTTACTAATTCAAGCGCTGGCTCAGTAAGCCACCGTAGGAATTGCAGTAAGATTTTGCAAATACCTGAGATAACACACACAATGTGATTTGCATTTAATTTTAGGCATAAAGGGCTGTAAATAAGAATGCTAGTAACTTTCTGGGGTAAAGGAGTTAGTAAATTATTCCAGGTTTTCACTGTTATATAATAGATAAGCACTCCCATTATGAAAGGCAATAAATCGTTAAAAAAGAAGAATACATTTTTTAAAAGGCTACAAAAGCTGTTTGACTTATTATTATTAAAATTATATTTTTTAATGTCATCAGAATGTCACGATTGCAATAAACCTGTCCACGTTTATGTTTTTTAGTCTTAAGTTCGTTCCTCATTCAGGAAACTAGCCACTTGCTTGTCAGCTAGTGGTCTTCCTTGTGTGAGCTGTGTAACGGCAGCCCCAGCTTCACCTACGTTGACGCTGCAGCCCCCTCTCTCCGGCTGGGTACAAGGGTCCACCTCCACGCAGGTGATGCCATCTCCCCGGTAGCCTGGCTTGCACACACACCTGAGGAGCACAAGCAGTGGGCGGCCATTACGAGTTGCTCTCTCTGCTCGTGCTGACCTGGGGGGTGGTGCCCGGACCGAGTGGGGCGCTGCAGGAGACCTGTTCACACCGTCCCCCATAGCGTGGTCTGCAACCCGGAGCCCCACGCTCATTTCTAACACTGTAACAGTTCTGTAGGAAGCCTCGTCTAACCATTAGCTTGTTTTCCACAGGCCTCTAACACACGCCTCTCCACTCCGACCTAGTGGCGCATCTCACATATTTTAGTAAAATCCTGGAAAGTGGCCCTCTTAGCTTGAATATCGGTCTATGCTTTTGTTGTGCACAATATTTCCACCTGCGGTGTTTCCATCTCGCTGTAAAGAGCCACACAGGGCACGCTGGTGGTACCTGACAGCGCCTCCATTGAAGTCGCAGGCTGCGTGTGCGTGGCAGTAGTCCACACGCGGGCCACAGGGCTGAGCCTGTCTCTCGCAGAACCTGCCTGTGTACTCAGGCTGGCAGGTGCCCTGTTTGCACGAGCCGTCGCTATCCGGACGATTGTCGCACTGGCCGTGGACACAGGGGCAAGCTGCAGAGAGGGCACCGGGATAGAAGGGCAGGCTGGTTAGTGCCGTCGCAGCGCTGTAGACTGTCCGGTGATTAGTCACCTTTTCCTTACACAGAACGTTTTTGAATAAAAAAGACAAATTACTATTACTCTTACAGTGTATCCTGTATGTAACTAAGCTTTTCGGTGCTCAGAACTCCAGTGAGCCAGGGTAATGAGTCACAGCGAAGCTAAGCCAGAGGAAAGGGTTTTCTCCGGCCTTTTTACTAGACTGCCTTCATCCTGTGTGACAAGTGGGGTGTTTGTTGACATAGTTACTGTATGGAAAAAAAAACTACTCATAAAATAATTAACTGAATAATCATAATCATAATGCATAGAATAAATACATCTCAAGTTTTGCTGTGGAAAGTCACATTACTTTGTTCAAGTAATATATTAGGATTATAAGTAATATATATTAGGATTAGACGGTGTCCAAGATCTGGGAATCTATTGGGCTTGCTGTTAAGTGTAACTTCACCAATACCTCATTCACAATACCTCATTCACAGAGATAAGAGCAACAGAAGAAACAGTTACATTTGTCGCAGTTGGGCCCGTATCTGCTGGGGTCAGTGCAGTACTGGCAGCGAGAGCCCTTGAAGTTCTCCTGGCACACGCAGGTCCCGTTTCCACTGATGCCATCGACACACTGCGGGAGAAGGGCAGCAGCTGTGAGCGGGGAGCCTCCACTGCGAGCCCCTGGGCTGAGGCCGCGGTAACAGGAGCACCCCGGGCCTCCGCCAGAGCCCCCCCCCAGGATGCTGCTGTCGCTGAAACGATCTATGCATTTTCCCTGCTGAGTAGACTCCCCGTAAGCGCGTGGCTGGGTTTTTTTGAGAACTTGTTACTCCTGTCCCTGCCAGCTTTGCTTGGCTAAAATACGGCAGAGAAAAAACCTCAAGCTTGAGGTGAGGCTCATCAAGCTTCACCTCTAGTTTGATCTCCCACCTCGGCCCTGACCGCTCCCTCCTGCCCTGACGCGCCCCACCTACTGTCAGACGAGCTCCGGGCCCTGACCGTGCCCTCCCCACCCCGCCGTCAGATGAGCTCCGGGCCCTGACCTCGCCCTCCCCACCCGCCGTCAGACTAGCTCCGGGCCCTGACCGCGCCCTCCCCACCCGCCGTCAGACGAGCTCCGGGCCCTGACCTCGCCCTCCCCACCCGCCGTCAGACGAGCTCCCAGCCCTGACCGCACCCTCCACCCCCGCCGTCAGACGAGAGCCTGCATGCGGTCGAGAGCTGTGCCTCACCTGGCCACGCGCAGAGCAGGGCTGTGAGAAACCACCGGGACATGGGCTGCATTCACGTCCGTAGAAACCACTGCAGCAAAGTGGCCTCTAAAATATTTCCAAAACAGAAAAAATAAACCACTGATACAGATTTCCACACTTGTACACCAGCCTTTTCTCACAGTGCTGTCATTCCTCTGAGAAATGTCTCTATTTATTCACATGGAAAGACGACTAGGACTCTAAGAGCCATAGAAATTCCAATCTCAGGAAGTCCTATATTGACTTCAACTTAACTCCATTAATAAATTCACAGAACACTTCTTACCTGATTGAATTGATGGCCCACAATGAAAATTTCCCCAGCACATTTTGAACTAAAACTGCAGGTCCTATACATTTGATCAAGACAAACGTAACGGAGTTCCACGTTTTGTTATTTAAAAAAAAAATAATTTCCCCCTTTTATAATGTGGTGCTTCTTCAAGATATAAGCCACTGCACCGTTCACAATAATTCTTTCAGCAGATGACATAATTCCGAGTTTAAGGCTTTCCCTGAGCTGGAATCAAGTCCAGATCCAATGCTTTCAGTGTGCTCGGAGCGCAAACCCCAGTTCAGCTGGGACACAGCCAACGCCATCAGTTAGAGGCAGCGACTGGCCGAGGTGTGGCATGATGGAGAATGTGGGAAGGACCTGGGTGTCCACATCTGTGTACTCACTGTTACGGTTTGATTGCAGTACTGGGCGCAACCTATGGTTGGGATTTTGACTCCTATTACAGAGGACGTGTAAATACAGCCTCGCTTGAATGTGCCCTGCAAAACAATAAAGCCACTCAGACAATGCATACGGATACAATTAAAACATTTAAAAATAACTACAATCACAAAAATGTGCAGCCAATCAAGGACACAGCAAGCAACAGTATCATTCATGCGGCTCACGATACTGACAATGATTGAGGCTCCAAACTATCTGCTGATAAAAACACTGGGATTTATTTCTAAATTAATCAAGAAAGACAGACCCTCTTAAAGAACTATAAGCCATTATAACAAGTTCAGATCTTTTTTGTACTCACTGTAGCCTCCCCTGAGGCACAGGAAGTCCGTGTGACCTTCAAACAGCTGACACATTGTCCCTGAAGATTAACAGCCAAGTTAAACTCACATATATTAACACAGACCATAACTATCAAAACCTGTTATGCACACCAATATAAGATCAAGCCTATAAAACATGAACCCGAATGATTTCATGTATTACATACCTTATGTAATATGGTATCACATGTACAGTACATACCTTATGTCTAGATACCATTATGAAATATAATAATTGAATTTTTCAATCTGTATCCTGGAAATGATGGTGTAGAGACACCAATGCAAAAAGATGACAACACAAAAGCCATAGTTGTGATGCAGTAATCTCTTTTAATCCATATAGATTAAAAATGTTGCAATATGCCGTACGTTATCGGAACCTTTTATTTGTACAGTAGGTTAAAATGAAGATTGCTGTCTGGAATACACCTTAATTCTGCTACAGTTATCCGATCTGTTCATCATACAGAATGCGTGAGGCAGAGCCACTACTCACAGCGACAATCTTGGACTCGGAGATGTCACACCTGTGGGGCAACACAGGCTCAATAGAGGGAGGAATCAGAACTCCGTCCACCGAGTAGAGTCGGCCATTCTTCGCCTCAACGTCTGCCTCCAGGATCACCTCCCCATTCACAAGCATTTGTCCCTTTTGAGAATCCAGCAGGAATTATATGGAAATGATGACTAGTGCGAAGAATCCACATGTGAAATGCTGGAATGAGGCCCTTTATTGATACAGTACAATACGTGCATGAAAACACTTACATTGCTGCTGACGTTGAATGTCAAAACCTGGCTGGCCATGGTGACTGAACGGGGAGAGGACACAATACTGACAACTTCCAGCTACAGGTGGAAAAAAAACAATTACTTTAAAAAATGAGAAGGCGTTTTTTTTTAACAAGGCTATTTCTATATGAGTATATTCCAGCCAGTTTAATCTCCAGACATTAGACTGTACTAGACAGATAGCAATGCTTCAGAATAGCTTTTAGTAGAGACAGACTTACAACAGCAGCCTCTCCAGAAACACAAAAAAGACAGTAAGTTTAATGAAATGTGGACACTGAATTTACAGTGAATAAATGAAGAGATACAGTACAGTAGGAAGGGAGACAAAGACGATAAGCTTCAAAAATACCTCAACTGATGGGATGATGTGATTTCTTACTAGTTCCAAAAGCTTATTATTACCCTAGGATGGAACAAAAACAGATCATATAGATAAATATAACATAATTCTTCTGGACACCCCAAAAATAAACATAGTGCTTACTGGAGAGTAACAACAACTTTGACAAACAACTTTGAAAGCATACCTTTCTATTGAGTTAATTTAATTAGATCATAACAAGCTACAGCAGAGGTCAGTGACTGACTAACAGGAACTACAGGTGCCGTCTCTGATACAACATGAGCCTGAATGCTACACCTGTGTCACATGAGCTGTTAGAGAATGTTCCTACAGATCATCACAGTTGCAACAGTAGAAACTGAGCTCTGGAAAAGCGAACAAATGACAAAATATTTAGAGTTGAAGGAAGAATCCTACTTGTAAACAATGGGATATATTTTTAAGCATATAGTAGGTTTTTCTTGTAAGTTATACCCTTGTACACTTGAAAACACAGCTTCTAATTGACATTCTGTAAATGCAATAGTCAGTAGAGAGGGAACTTTCTCTGAAGTGAATTCCCTGGGCCACAGAGGACTGGACATCAGTACTGTACCTCAGGAGAAAGCAGGTACTCAAGGGTTCCTTCTTTCATGCTCTCCAAAGCTGAGTTAGTTGGTGCAAAAATGGTGATTGGTCCAGGTCCCTCCAAGAGATTAGCAATGGCTGATTTCTGCACCAGAGAGCCACAGAGTGCGTTAGTCACAAGAGGACTGAGGGCAGTTCATGTCACTGCCCACTCCGAGCCTGGGCTAATAGGGCAGCTGAAGACATAGGTTCTAGCTGCTGCAGGTCTCACTGTGGACCAGACCTTTCACACACAGGCATCCTCTTGCTCTGTTCTTTCCATGTGGACTTTAAAATCCTCATGCTCACCTATAAGACTCTGCATGGCTTGACACCTCAGTATCTGTCTGAAGTATTATTACCTTACTCCTCTTGCTCTTTTCTTTTTGCCTGGATTATATGTGGAATCTTTTTTCATGGGGAAAATCTGGTTGTTCATAGTAACAAAAATAAAACTTATTTTAAGCTTTTAAGATTGTTGAAGATATGTAAAATACAAACAATAGTATAAGACATGAGTTTAATCTAGTATTAAACATTGTTGTAAGTGTCAGATATTCCACGTTAAAAAAATGTAACATGCCTTTAGTTGTTTGCTTTGTGAATTAATATCTGAAAAGCACTCGTCTCTACTGGCAGGTCCTGTTTGGGGTCCACACAAATAGCTCATAGCATCCCCAAGAGAACGTGCACCCTAGTATTTGTCTGATCAACAAACAGCTGCTTGTTTCAGTCCTTCATCTAATCACTGCTGCAAAACACAATTCTTATTGTGGATTCAATGCAGTTACCTGTAATAATGATCTGAATTTGTTGAATTTTCCATTATTGGCAACTATCGTCAGTAGGTTCTCCTATAAAGGTTAAATAAAAGATAAATTAATATTCAGAGATTGTTTGCATGTACAGTCCAGTAAGTCTTTCCTTGCAAGTAGATTTGATTATGTTCATATTGATATTAAAAGAGCAAGGGAATACCTAATGTCTGGATGGAGCAGGGCTGAATCACATCAAAGTTAATTTTAAAACAATACCGATGTGGAAATAAAAATGTGTTAAGCATACAGTACATGACAACATCAACATGCATTAGACTTGATGCATTTGAGGCAGCAATCAAAAGACCAATCAACTCCTGATTGCTCACTTTGGTTTAAGCATCTATGTGACTCTCACACACAGCATCTGTCTGTTATCACCACTAGAGATTCATTGGCACGGCTTCTTCATTTCTCAATGTACTGATGCATGTTTTTCAAATGCAAACGTGCAGACACAGTTGAAAACAAACAGTATTTTGCTACCACTTCTCTGAAGATGAAAACTGGGCTGACCTCTTTGTTACTCTCCACAGTGGGCTCTACGCTGTCCATTAGCTTATTGATGATGTGGATCACTCCATTGGAAGCCACAATATCGCCCTGCAAAATGCTGGCTTTCTTCTTACTCCCATGGATCCGGATTTTCACTTGTTGGTCCTTGAATACAGAACAAT